TCCCTCTGGCGTGTCGACCGCACCACTCAGCTTGGTGTCACCTGCAAACTTGCTGAGGGTGCACTCGATCCCACTGCCTATGTCATTGATGAAGATATTCAACAGTACCGGTCCCAATATGGGCCCCTGCGGGACGCCGCTCATCACCAGTCTCCATCTGGACATTGAGCCGTTGACCACTACCCTCTGGATGCGACCATCTAACCAATTCCTCACCCACCGGACAGTCCACCCATCAAATCCATACCTCTCCAGTTTAGAGAGAAGGATGTTGTGGGGGACCGTGTCAGAGGCCTTTCAGAGGTCCAGATAGGCGACATCTGTAGGCCTTCCTATGTCCACTGATGTAGTCACTCCATCATAGAAGGCCACTAGATCAGTCAGGCAGGACTTGCCCTTGGTGAAGCCTTTTAACTTAATGCACGCATATTCTGGAGTTAAAGGACCTTCAGTTAAGTTGTTTGATGGGAAGTTATCTTGGTCACTGAGTTGATTTTTCTGGTCTTACTTTGGACCTGAAGCTGTGTATGTATGATAGAAGCCTTTTCTATTTCTATCACTTGGCCTGCTACAAGTTTCCCTACGAATCTCTTGAGATGTGGTGACATCTGGTGACTGCTCGAGAGTATTGCATGCTTAATCATGTTCACCTTTGTGAACAGCTTTTTCAGCCTCTAATACTTGTTATTGCTTGAAGAACAGGACTGTGATACTTGTGTTCACTACAGAAAGCAGCGTGGTCTGTTGAGTGAGTTGAGTCTTGAGAGACCCCGGATCTGCCACAGGCTGGCTTGAGAAGCTCTTCTGTTTTGGCCTGGTCTCTTCTCTGTATTCTTCACCCACAAGATCATGTTCCTGGAATGGATGAGGAAGGTTACTAGAGATCTTTTAGGAGTTAATCCTAAAAACTTGTGTCTTGTGATCTACCAGCTTGGAAGGCTGAAGATGTGAACTCACAGCCCTTGTGAGCTTCATTATTCTTCTCAGTTTCTCCTTGGCTAAGCAAAGCCAAGGGGTTTTATTTTGCTTTTAAGTCTCAGAAGAAGCCTAACAGTTAAACCGATGGACTGGGGAAGCACATGGCTAGGAAGAGACTGCATGTTCTTGAGAGACAAAGCACTTAAGAGCTGAAGCACTAGTCTCTCCTAGCCATATTGAGTTGAGCTTGTGATCAGTGAAGCTGGAGGTCTTTAGCATTATACAACCTTGCATGGAAGAAAATGCCAGTGTGGTGTCCATTACATCTTTCATACTAGGTTTTCCTTGACTTCTACAGCAAAAATTGCACCTCAGAGTTACAGCTATGATTGTGTAGGGTCCTTCTGAGTAATGTTTGGCTTCTTTGAAGTACTGTTGTGGTTACTGAGCGTGCATAATAAGCAGCATTTGAGAGGTCAGCATTTAAGCATTTGCTGATTCCAGTGTTTGAACCTGTCGGACGTAGCTGTTCGGTGGAGTAGGCATTACTGTCTTGAAGTGGTTCTGTAGGACCCACTATGGTGAGTCAAGGGCTGGAATGTCTTTTTTTCTTAATGCCAGGGACTATCTTCTCTGATGCTGTATTCACGTGGACAGAAAGGGGAGAGTGTCCCAAATGTGGTGGGTTTAGGAAAGCACTCCAGTGGATGCCTGTTGTATTGCCACTTGTAAACGTCAAATCCCAATCCCACCCAAACTGAGAAGAGAGAAAAACTACTCTTCGGGAATACACCTGGGAGCGAAGTGCCCAATTGCTGTTCTCCAGAAACTGCTATATATTTGGGGTGTTTGCATTTTTTTTTCCTGAGAGTAAAAAAATGTTCTATTAGAAATGCTAGCAGGGAACTTCACTGCATGCTGAAACAAGACTTTTTATTTTTTTTAAGTGGGGAGGAAAGTTTATAATCTAGACTCCTGGGAGCAACAGAGGAAGTCTCCAATCTTCTCCCTGCTTGCAAGCATTCCCTGCAGAGACCACTTTGTAAATGATACAGAACAAAATGTGAAAACGTGATATGCTGTTTCTTTCCTTTAT